TTATTTTGAGTATTAAAAGCATCGGACAACAATGGTGTTTTTGATCCTCAAAATAAGTATCACAATTTCCGGTATTTATATTGGCCGATATTAAATTGGATTTCTATAAGGGTTTCTTTGCTCGTCGACGTCTATGTCATAGACGCGCTCGCGTGCGGGGACGACTTTATTTTCCGTTTAATTTACATTCGTTCCGAGAAAAGACAAGTCGGACCGCGGATGCTGTGGTTTTCGTCGGGAGAACGCAGTTACGTATACATCTGTGTATGCGATTTCCGTGACGGCCGAGGTGTCTGGCGGCGCGCGATAATTTATGGAGTCGAGATTCTTCGTTCGGTCGCGATCGCGGCGGCGATTATCGAATTTGTATGCGAAACCGGTCGCCGAGCGCGGAATGCCGCGCGATGGATGGTCCTTTTCTTTTCTCGCGACAGTTTGACAAAATCATTAGGGGGACCAAATTCAATAAAGAGCCCGCGCTGGGCTCCGATCGTTCGCGAGACTCGTAAGAAAACATTCTTGCCAGGACGATCGATGGCATCGATATCGATAATACTCTCTTGAACGCTCGTCATTCAGCTCACGCTGCCATTTCCCATCGTTCATCTCGCCGAAATAGTCTTCTTGCCCGTCGCTACTGAATTAGGCGGAATAAAGCTCTAAATAATTCGAGCGCGAAGCGAGGAGCCTTGATACCGCCACGCGTCGAAACCGGTTGTAATGTCGAAGCCTTACGAAACGCCGCATAGAATGATGTAACGAGTGTACTAAATAAAATTAAGATCGTTTCTTGCCACATTTGCTATCTTCCTATCCTGTTTTCTACGTCAAAATGATCTCTAATTGACACTAACGTAATTTTCCGCGTATTTTTCTACGTTACATTATATTTAAAATTTACTGTCTCGTGAAATAAATAAAATCGGAGAAAACAGCGCGATAAAATTAAGACTAAACCTTGCATTCAGGATAAACGTCAAAATTAATGTAGATGGTCATTAAATATTATTATCAACGCGATCGATACTTAGCGATGCCAAACGTTCGGCAAATCTCCGTCTTACGAGAGATTATTAGTTCTTTAATGGCGTTACGCGTTAATTCTTTAGGATTGTAACGCGAACTATAAACTGCGATAATAGAATGCCGCGTACAGTAAACGATCAATTCAGGTCGTCTTTTCTTGGAAGCAGCCGTTGATCGTCCGAAGAAGCCGCGTTATTTTGATGATATGCTTTATTATCGCGAACGTGCGGCTTGAATCACACGATTATTCTTAGGATTTACAGTTTACGCATTTTGTATTTTTCTCAGGAATGATTACGAAAAATGAAAATAGTAATCGTTCGAAGAAGATTTGCATTAATCAAAATTAGTAGAATAAAAAATACGCACAACATTTAGTTGAATATTTTTCACTAGTCCATTAAATCTACTCCTTTTCTCTCTGCGAAAAAATTTATAATATTCGTGATATTAAGACCGAAATGACAATAATATTTCATTAGATAAAAATGGCATGAAAACAAATAAGATTAATAAAATGTAGACAAAGTGGATAAGTAAATGTGGACAAACCGCATAAGCAAATCTCTATATTAGTATCTTCGACGCTCAAGCGATTAATTTTTCAATATTTTATTTTCAATTTTAATTTTTTTATTTTTATTCGATTGACATTATGATCTCTCTTCATGTGAAATCCTGCTTCATCCAGAATTCCATCATCGTCCTTCCGTGACCGCGTTCCTTTCGCCGATTGCATTTTAATCGCCTTTCCGGGCGAGATCGTCAACGCGCGTAAATCGCGAATCGCACTCGTACGGCGGAAGCTGGAACGAATGGCGGAGACGACACGAACACACGAACACACACACACACACACACACACACACACACACACACACACACACACACACACACACACACACACACACACACCTCT